AACTGCAAGACTGGAGAAGAGTTAGACATTACATCTCTGAACAGTCTATTTCCATATTTCATGAAGTCAATGAGAAAGAATTAAAAGGTCTTATATCTCCAGTCTTGGACACTCCTCAGATTTCCTTCACTAAAATAATACACTTTACACTAGTGTAATACTTACCATTTAAAACTCAAAGAATGTGAAGACAGAAAATTACTTGCTCTGTGAGATCCATCTGAGTCCAAATTTAAACCCAGTATGAAACAGTCGGTAAAAACAAGACCAAAAGTAACCTGACATAAGGTAAAGGAATAATTCTTTTTATAGGCTCATGAACTATAATTGATTGGTGCACAAATATATGTGAAAGACTTCTGAGCTTTCTAAATTTCACATTGGTGAGGAAACACCCTATCCAAATTTGTACAGCCCTTGAAAATTCACCCATCAGATCAGTATCTTGGACAAGAACCCAGGGAACTGCACTTGGAAAAATTACTTCTGAGACATATGTCTATCAAATGATTTAGAACAAAAATGCAAATTCATTGATTCCCTGAGGATAATATATTATTCCTTCAATAGTACCAATAGTGGAATTTTTATCTGTTTTAAAATCCTCCAAAATAAAAAAAAATAAGCAAATCATTAGAATTTCAATAAGCACACTTTATAAACAATGCTGGACAAAATAGAAACACAGGCAGAAAACATAGGAGATGGCCTTCCTGTCATATCAGGTGACTCTTGACCCTAAACCCAAGATTTGTTAGCAGCACAAGCCAATACTACACTCAGGCTTCAGCATTTCTCTGAATGACATTTGAACTCGGGTAAAGTATTTTTCTAACTCCTTAGTGCTGAATGTTTGACCTTAAAATCTCCGCTGTTTGCTCTTTCTTTTCCTTTTCTTTCAGACCTCATGACTACAAATGCTATTATTAGTCATAAGATTGTTAGGTCTTTTCTAAATTCCAGCCCTGGTATTTAACTCCCTGCCCTAAATATAATAGGGAATTCAAAATCCTAATTATTTCTAAGAATCTAATTCTTCAATATATGCTTTCAATTCTTCTATCTTTCTATGGAACTGAGACTCACATTAAATATTAGCAATGTTGTGTCCTTGAATTGCTTAGTGAGAAAAAAGACATTTCCTAGGAAAGGCTTATAAGTTTGTGTCCAAACCATCCTGGAAGGGGCCGGGAAGATGGCTCAGTGGAATAAGCGCTTCCCTGGCAAGCACAAGGTCCTGAGTTCAATCCCCAGTTCCACCAAAAAAAAAAAAAAAAAAAAAAACATCCTGGAAATGAATCTGTCTCACTACTAGTAAGTTAAATTATCTTAGGACATCAGACAAATTTCTGCCTTGTGCTATAAATAAAAGATTATATTTATATGGGGGTTTGTTACATAAATAACATACATTGCACATAAAAATTCTGGCACAAGCCAGGGAGATAGCTTGGCAGTCTAAGTACCTGCCTGGCAAGCACAAGGTCCTGAGTTCGATCCACCAAAATTATCGGGGCTGGGGAGATGGCTCAGTAGAAGAAGTACTTGCCTGGCAAGTGCAAGGGCCTGAGTTCAACCTCTGGTTCCACAAAAAAAAAAAAAAAAAAAAAGTATCACTATTAGAGCAAGCATGCACTAATAAAACAATTATCAAAAAAACTAAAACAGTCTTAAAAATCTTTAATCTGATGATTTTACTTTCATGGCCCCACATAAAAATGAATATACTACACACCACTTAAAACAATCCTTCTAAGAGAAACTTCTGCTGTTAGAACAATTAAGTCTGAAAATCCTTTATAAAAGATCACCTCTCATAAAGATTGCATAGGTTAAAATGCAAAAGGAATTGTCACAAATCTTAGTGCTCAAATCTCAATGCTCAAGGTATCATTAGAAATCAAACAACTGAGACCTTTTACTCATACATGTAAAATCTAAGCCCTAACTAAATTAAGCAACTTTTATAAGATCGAGCAATTTAGTAATGAGCTAACATCAGAAGGGGCCCAAGTTCGAATTAGGTATATGATGTAAAATCTCGCTTCAGTGATGGTTGTTACACTTTAATGGTGATTTTTCAGTGAGCTGCATTTGCCTAGGATTACAAACTGTGACTACATTTGGAGCTAAAATTTTTGTTAACAATAGAATTGCCTGTCTCAGGGTTTATCCAGCTCTACATTTTTTTCTACTTATTGCTCAAGGGTACCTTCCACTACTTGGAAACAAGTTGTTCATAACTCTCCATGTTTCCTCTCTTCTAACAAGACTTACATTTGTATGACCCCACAGGTACTTACCATGTCATGTCTGATAGTGTCCCCATTCTCTCCTCAGTTTCTCTTATTTTCCTAGCTATACCGAGGCTTCCTGAAACAAGAATAAAACATAGTCTTCCTAATTCCTGTGGAACAGAATACAGTAATGAATAAGTTCAATGCAGGTATTCCTTTAGTACTCAGTTGATTAGACAAGGGGTAGAGAACAAACATTTTCGTGTTTCTTTGTCCATTCTTGGATTCCCTATGTGCTAATACAAAAACTGAAACCTGGTTAAGTTTGATCAAAGTTTTTTAAATAAATCAGACTTCATGAGGGTGAGCGGACAAACACAACAGATAGGTTCAATCTAATGCCATCATAAAGTCCTTGCTTTCAAATGTAGAGAACAATCTACCTTTCATAGATGGAGTGACATTTATTTCAAAATAAAATTTCCACTTCAGCAGCTTTGATTTCTGGCAATAAATCTTGCCCTTAGAAATGAACAGTTTTCTCCTAGGCAAAGAAAATTGTTCAATCCACATGATGAAAGATATGTAATTTGGAATTTCATATGAAACAGAATTAGTTTTAAAAATTAATTAGCTAGCCAATTAGTTGTATACTTATTTGTACCAGAATGCCAGTGTCATTATATAAGGAAGTGGCACTGAGAATACTTTATAAAAAGATATTCATTTCAGCTTTTATTTAACATGTTTGTTGAGTATCTCAGGAAAATCATGATGATGAAGATGAAGATCATAGAATATTGAATATTAAATAAAAATAAGGAAAACGTTAAGAACCCAGGTTCAAGTGTCAGTCAGTCTGGGTTTAAATTGTTTTGTTTTGGTTTTTTGGAGGTTTTATTTGTTTGTTTGTTTGTTTTTATTTGTTGATATGTCCCAATACCAAGGACAGAAAATGAGGATATAATAGATACTCAGTGAATATTAGTGGAATATTGTTGAAGGACTTTTTTCTCTTTTTAAGATGTTTATTAGTTTATGTTGGCAATATATAATGATTACACCCAAATGGTTAGTTGGTATATGCACATCACACATCTTAATCTTTCTACTTTTCCCTCCTCTCTTTCTCACCTCCTTCCCCTGCCCTGGATCTCCTAATCTCTTTCCCACTTACAAAAAATCTGTCTCAATTGTTTTTAAAGCCCAGGGTTATCACTGACTATCTTTGTGGTGGTCTATAAAATCAAAACCATCTTAAGGCTTATGGACTGAACCCTGCAGATAGGCAGTTCTCACTAAAAGAAGATCTAGGGCTGGGAAGATGGTTCAGTGGAATAAGCGCTTCCCTGGCAAGTGCAAGGGCCTGAGTTCAATCCCCAGTTATACCCAAAAAAAAAAAAGAGAGAAGATATAGCTAGATCTGCTGTAACATAAAATTTCTTAAAATTTCTCACTTGCTACTGTCCAAATAACCATATTATTATTAAACCAGGAGACATATCTCTGCCATGATTATTTTGGAGAAGGCAGGCTGAATTTTGTGTGGCTGACCTAGCTTAAGCATAACCATATTTTATATTATTTTCTAGTACTAAATGACAGATGGAGAACTTTTAGAGAAGGAAGTGGTGGAAAGATATAGAACAAAAAATATTCAGATTCTAATAGCCTTTCAATTTAACATGTTCTTGATGTCTGTTTTTAATGTGCACAGTACTACCATGAGTGATTTGCGGGATCCCCATTAAACTGAATATTTATTTTCTAATATTCAAGCTGATGACATTATATAAGTATAATAATGATGGATATATTTTCAACTGAGAACATTCACAGGGGTAATATTCACCAAAAAACAGCCCTACATATAAACATGTTACACAAGATGACATAAAACCTAAATAAATGAGACATTGTAAATCAAAACAATATTGTCTATCAATTTGAATCATGTGTGTAGTCAATGTAGAGAAAATGAAACAACCTCCCTGTGTTCAAAAGCTAGAACCTGGGTTCAAAAGCTAGAACCTTCCCCTGAATTGTAGACCAAGAAAAGGCAATCTTTGTTTCTGAAATCTTCTTGTGAAGAACTGTAAGGGATGGCAAAGAGACTTTGAAAATTAAAACAATGAAAGAAGAGACCTTCAGAAAGATCCTCTTGATCAGTATGGTGGCTAATCTGTGTCAGCACTTGGGAGGCTGAGGCAAGGGGATGTCTGCAAGCTTGAAGTCAGCATGGGCTATATAGTGAGTTCAAGGCCAACCTGGACTATATAGCGTGACCCTGCCTCAAAAATCAAAAGAAGAAGAAGAGAAAGAGAAAGAAAGAAAAGGTGGACAAGCAGGAACAGGATGGGGGGAGGGCAATGTGAAGAGGAGAAAGAGAAGAGACCTGGCAGGACTGGGGAACTTAAAAAAGAAAGGGATTAAAGGATAAAGGGGGGGGGGCAGAAAGCATTCTCTAAACGACAAAGAATGTAGGGAGTCACACTAAAGATAGTAAAGCACGAGCATGCCACCTCCCTCGCTCCCTCATAACTCTAGCGCTAAGTGGGGTGATGGCCAGGTTCTTGCCTACTGGTCAGAAAGTGCAAATGTTACTCAGGGACATGTAATGTGAGGTATGTGGCATAAGATAGAACAAAAACATTAAAGGAAGCATTCGAAATGTCAGCTGACTACTCAGCCAACCTGTGAGTCAGCCAGCGAGTTCAGGAACTAGCTCTGTAGTCTGGTGGCACAGAAGCCACCACAGCAGTCTGAGTGCACAAGACTAAGGGATGGGGAAGACACGATGTAATGCCATGCACAGGAGAGCAAATGACTGACTGCAGTAGAACAGATTTGCTGGTAGGTCAGAAAAAAACTACTGACAGCCTTGTTACAGAGAAAGAGGGACTTAAAATCAGCATAATTGCTCATTCCATTTTGGCATCTGGGGTATGATTAAATTCAGATTTCTCTTATTAATTAGTTATTATTTGGGGGTCTTGGTTTTGCTACTGCTGTTGCTGCTATTGTAATCATCATTGTGATTTTCTTTCAGTGCTAAGGACAAACCCTGAGCCTTCAAACTGAGCTACATCACTAGCCTTTTCTAAAATTTTAAAGCAGGGTCTCACTAAATCACTTTAGCAGGTATTCATTTCATTTTGATAACTGAAGTATGACTAAACTCAGACTTCCTTTGTTTATGTATTGTGTTGATTTATTGTCATTGGTGTTGTCACTGCTGCTCTTTATCTGGTGACAGGGGTTGAACCCAGGGTCTTCACACTGAACTATCCCCCCAGTCCTTTGTTAAATTCCAAGGTAGGGCCTCTCCCTAGGTCTTCAAATCACCCAGACTAGGATCAAACTAATCCTCCCATTTTAGCCTCCAGAGTGCTGGGATTATGGGCGTGTACCTTTATGCCTGTCAGGTATTAGGTTTGATGAAGTAGAGTTTTGCAGCCAAGTAAATGACTTTAAGAAAGGTGTGCCTCCAAGAACAGGGACAAAGGAAGGTCGGGCTGATAAGTAAAAAAAGCAAGACAAATATTCACCTGTATTCTAAAACCCCTGAAATTATTACAGCAGACACTAGATTTTTATAAAGGAAGTGATATGGTTACCCCTGATAGGTTGTTTTGTTTGTCTGTTTTTTTGGTATAGGGAATCAAACTCCCCACCTTGCAATTGCCAGGCAGGCACTGTGCTACTGAGCTATACCTCTGGCCCTCTCATAGGTCTTTTGAAGCTAATTGAAGTGCAGTAAAAGTTTAAAGGAAAAGGAAGAGAAAAATCAAAGACCCTTAACAGATAATCACGGGAGGGGGGGGGATGATCCATCCCCAAAATATTGCTGCCATGGATTTCTTTCAAAGCCATATTTTTAAATGTTCTTTTAATAATATAATTTTTAAAATTCCATAGTATTAATTTTTTAAATAAAAAATTACATTTTAAATGAAACTTTATGTGTTACTGGATTCTCAAAAGGCTCATTTTATTAGTTTGTGCTTTTTTTTTTTTAAAGATTGCCCAGCTTTTATTTGAATAGCTGATAAGGTTTTTTTTTTTTAATTTTATTTATTTATTTATGTGTGTGTGTGTGTGTGTGTGTGTGTGTGTGTGTGTGGCCAGCTCAGCCCACCAAGGGGTGGGGATGGCTGGCATGTGGTGCTGGGGGATCGAACCGTGGTCCCTGTGCTTTGCTGAACTTGTTCCAAGCAGGTGCTTTAGACCACTAAGCCATCTCACCAGCCCGTAGTTTGTGCTTTAAATATCTCAGGGCATGTAAAACAGGAAACATATTTGTGTGGAAAGAGGAGACTGGGAATTATAGCCTCCTTTCCATGGTCTAAATGTGATTTAACACACTCAGGGAGCTGAAGCAGGAGGATCATAAGTTTGAGCCCATCCTGGGCAACTTAGTGACTTAGTGAGTTACAATTTCAAAATAAAAAGGTACAGCTCAATGTGAAGGCCCTTGGTTCAACTTCGAACACAAAATAAAATAAAATGATCTCATATATGATAACAGAGGCCTTATAAAAACATATAGGCAATTATAAACCACAAAAAGATTTAGTATGTGCAAAACTCATTGAGCTATAAACTTATGCTCTTGGACATTATGATGTAAGTACATGAGAGGGTTTGTACAACATGGTTAAGTTTTGCTTCAGGAGTGAAATTGAAGATGTAATTCAGAGCTTTTTGCCTGAGAAATTAGTGACAGGGTAATATACATTGATCATTGTAAGCAAAATAAGGGTAACTGAGGGAAAATAAGTTCTTTTTTTGGCCAAATGAATACTTAAGATATATTCATAAAAGTACTGTGTATTAAAAGTGAATAAATACCTCAAAATTGTTTTATCCATCTCATTTAATAGATTGAAAAGATTCTCTCCAATGATATCTGGAAATTTTTGGCCTCTGTGTTAAGAGCTAGGAAGAGACTATCCATATCTTGAGACTTGTCACCTCACCCCATCTAAGGAAGCATGAAGTATAAATTCCAACATTCTGTTAGATCCTTAAGATCTAATCAACAAAGTTGGGTTGGAATTTGAAAATGGGACATCCTGATGTGACAGTCTTTGTAGAATAAATCTTGTGAAATCAATTATGAACACATGATTTTAAGGTGTCTTTACCAAATTGTCTTGTTCTGAGAAAAAAAGAGGTTAAAGTGGAAAAGAAAACAAAGAAGAAAAGATTATAAATAGATTGATATATGAAATAGAAGTCATGTGTGTCCAGGAAAGAAGCCTGAGGTGTGTGTTTCACAGCTGTATTTAGAGAAATGTCTATTGTGGGTAGTATTCTACTCTCTAACGAGCAAAGAAGAGGAAATGAATTCAAATTACAACCAAAGGAATTTAAGTTAGATGGAAAGATCTTATGGGCGACGAGGTTTTTATAAACCCTGGAAAAGATTCCTGGGGAGGTTTTCAAATTCTCTATTTGGATATATTTAAAAGAAGAGAGATACCTATCAGCCCAGAGCAGCTAAAGCTCAGACTTGCCTGGAATTTGCTTTCAGCTGAATTCTGTGAGTCCAGATTAATTTCTGACAGTGTTCAGGATGGCAAAAACAGTAAATGCTAGACAATAGCAAGCCATGTTGCCCCTTAGTGAGTACTCAGATAGACAGACAGACAGACAGACAGACAGACAGACAGACACACACACACACACACACACACACACACACACACACACAAACACCACCTCACCCAAAGTAATCATTTCCTTGGAAAATCAATTGGCATTTGCCAGTTGGTTGTAAGTGGAATGTACAATTATAATACACTCTGGTTTTTATTTTCTTTTTAGCCTGGTTTCCAGTGGAAAGAAGGCTTATGAAATCTCTCTGGCAGGATATGCCCTGCTTAATACATTTTTATTTTCTTTCCCTAGGCTGGTTACAACCAAATCTCTTAGAAAAAAAATGCCTAGGCCTAAGTAGCAATGAATGCACCCTCAGTCTAAATAGCTATGAAGAAAATACCCTCTCCCTTCATTCCAAAGGGTAACTTTTTCCCCTTTTTACTGAAAGGAGCAAGATGATTCACCACCACCATCAGCCTCTCCTTCTTTACCTTCACACAGACCTCACCAAGCGCCTTGAAACCTGCAGAATTCCAATTCCCAATATAAAATTGCACATGCCCTAAGAGTTTGTAATAAAAGCCTCTAATTTGCTGTATTTCTCCATTTTCTCAGCTGTGCACCTGTTTGCCCCATTGTTTTCACTGTATCTGTTGTCTTGTTTTTGCTTTCAGCTCCTAGAGGCAAGTTATTGAACCTATTAATTTTATTTTGAACACTATGTATTCATATGCGGGTGGACACTAGGGCTGTTCTTGAGAGTGATGGCTCCTGAAGTGACTGCATGCCCTTTTCCCCTAAAAGCCTAGCATGGATGAACCAAAGCTGAAGAAAATTAACTAAGTTTACAGAATCTCTGTCATTCCCAAATCCTCTTAAATACTGCACAGACCACCAAAGCCATAATCATTATCAGGGAACTGAGCAATATGGACAAGGGAGGATTCAGTCAGCAGAGCCTGCAACGGACAGGAAACAGGACTATATTTATCTGGAGTTTGCACTCCACCATAATCTCCTTTCTCTGGTGTTTAAGCCCAGGCTTGTTGGAATTCTCAGGTTCTCAATTCAGGGCATCATCAGTCAATACCACTTGCCATATGAAGTTGTTAGAACTGACATGCTCCCTAGAAACCATCAAGTTCATTGTATCTTGGTCTTGTTTCTTTATGTTTATATCCTATGGAGAACAAAAGTCATTTTTAACAAAATTAATATTTCTTCCTTGATACAAATTCCTGCATAACACCCTCCATTCTTGCCTTAAGTCAGACTTCCTCACTGACCAAAGATGACAATAAATCAATATCATTTCCTGTTGAGTTAAAATTTTCCAATGCCCATTAACCCCTTAGGGTCCTCCAAGTTAATTTTTAAAAATATTTAATGATTGTAAGCACCAATTATGAGCCATTCAGTATATAGGCTAGAGAAAATGACAGAAATAAAACACAGAGTCTGTACTTCACATTCACCAAAAATAAAGCTCAGCATTGACCAAATTTCTAGAGTTTCATTCTCATTCTTTTCTTCTTACCAAGATTCTGGGGTGTTTTAGAATCTTTGTTCATAGGGCCTGCGAGATAGCAGAGAGGACTAAGCACCCGCTTAGGCAAGCGCAAAGACCTGGGTTCAATTCCCAGTACCACATGTCACACCAGATTCACCCCAGGTGTGCTGACCTGGCCACCAAGACCCAGAGGGGTGGTGTACACCTGTAATCCCAGCACTCAGGAGGCTGAATATAGTAGGATCACTATGAATCTGAGTGTATAGTGAGACCCTGTATCAAAACACGTAAAAAAATAAAAAATAAATTTAAAAAAGACAAAAAAGAAACTTGATCACATACCCACAACACAAAGCACAGTTTTCTCTCCTTGGTTCTTCCTCCCAGAGTCTGGGTTGTATCTATTCTATAAGACAAGTGGCCACCATAATATACTCAAAATGTTTTATATTTATTTTGAATATATCTTAAATAAAAATAAATAAGTTTTCAACAACAGACAAAACAGTCAAATTTTACTGTCAAGTAATTTTTATTACTGCATGTTGGTTACACAGATTGATGGATTCTATTTTGGAAAGTATGTGTATGAAACATACTTTCACTCACCCACCCATCCCCCATCACGGTCTTTCCCTCCCCTCTCCACCTCCTTCTTCCCTTCTCTAGTAGTCTACTTTACTTTTATGTTTTCTCCTTCCTCTCACTTATTTATCTATTTGGATTCCACATATGATAG